GCTCTTTTTTGCTTCTCATCCATAAATAATTCAGTTTATTTTGAAAAGTCTCAACAGGATCTTGAGCTTTATTGTGAAAGGTTTATGTGGAAAATAAACAAGCGGACACACGATGATTTTACCGTTGTTGTTGCTAACGACAACGCAGAGAAAGAGAGAACTTTAAGAGATTAATATAACCACTACAGTGGCCATCAAAACGACGAAAAAATATTGCCGTAAACAGTTTATTTTGCGACACCACGAAACAAACGATAGCGTAAAATGAAACAATAGATGTTTTTATATAGTCATCCCATATATATCGTTATATCGAACAGCCCTACCGCAAACCTATTTCATCTAGTGCTGTCAGCGTTAATCTCGATAAAATGAGTAATGCCATAACTGCATTAACGCGGCAAATCTCCGTTAACGAGTTACCGCGGATTGCCCCGTGCTTGGGGCTGGACGGCGTTAACGAGCTAACCGCACTAATGCGTTCGAAGCAGAAGCAGTTGTTGGAGTACAACAAAGCAGTTAAAGCACGTGAAGAGGCGTCCGCTTCAACTAGCGCGGTGGTGAAGCCAAAGAACTCACACAATCGGTGTAGCTTTAAATAGCTGCAGCCTTATGACAAAAGTAGCAAACGCTGGGGGAACTAACTAATTAACTAAACTACTATAAACAGCTGCTTGTTTAAGTAAAAATAAATGTTTATTTTTTTAACTAATAAAGTTGTGGAGTTGTAAAGTACTTTGTCTCGTGTCAATTATATTGTCAGTATACCGTTATTGCAAATTTTCAAATATATATCGTAATAAATATTTTTGGCCATATTGCCCTGCCCTAAAGACCAGTTTCCTCTATTTACATACATGCCACTGGTAATGAAATAATCATGAGTGTGCTCATCAGCCTTTTGCAGTTGAGATAAATGGGAAAAGAATAAAAAAAAACACATTTCCTTTTTTTTTTGTTTAAGCCATCTGCTTCTATTGTCTGGGACAGGTCAACGTCATGTTAAATCTCTGCCTCAGTGGTCAAGTATGAACACAAAAGCCCAGACGCTGCCAGAGGAAGCATCAGCAGTGTGAAACTGCACATGCTCGTGGGCTGTGCACTCGTGTGGAAATGACCTAACAGACACCTGATATCTAGAGGAGGATTGTGGGCGTTGGGAACAATCCAACAAAAAAAATTATCAAAAAAATTTCCTGACATGCCAACATTCCAGCCCCTTTAAGGTTTGGAGCAATACACTATCAGTTTTCCAGCACAGGGTCTAATATTTAAAGCTGTTTCCACACTCTTGGTTAAATGGGTGAACATTAGAGATTATCTGTATTATGATCTGTGGAAGGAATGAGAGTGGAAGATCATCTGACACAATATTTTTCCTCCTAGACGTTGAGAGAAATTAGAGCTTTTTGCTCTCGAGTGCAGTCAGATGTCTAAGTGAGAGCACTGTACAATGTAAACAGTTATCCTGGTGTCCTCATCTTTCTAATTCCAAGCTTATGAGATGGCAAAAGGCCCTCAGAAGTGCACTTTTTCCCTTTTCTGCAGGAAGCATTCCTCTCTAATGACAGGGGAAGTTACAAGAAGGTCCATGCAAACAGTGAACCAGGAGAAAACACCCAACCTAAATTTGGTCATCTTATTAAAAGGTGGGTCGAGCAAAGAAGCTGTGATCTTCAACACGACATCTGTGGCCAAGAAACTTCCTGAGACTCTTGCTCAAACCTAGGTTGCGACAAAAAGGGCTGGGTGGGGCTCAAGCAATAAACGCAGATATAAGAGGATAAAGTGACTAAAGTGTTGTGGATTTAAAGTTGTGGGTGAGGAGTGCGTGAAGAGCGCTGGTTTATTTTATTTAGATCAAAAGTGGCCTCGGTGCCACCGCTCCCACCACAGTTCCATCGACTGGCGTTAAAAAGCGGCAAAGTCGAGTTTTCCAGACGATCGCCCTTTGCTAAATTGTGATAATAGTCTAAAAACATAGCTATTAAAGTTAAGTGAGCTTCTAGCCAAGTTCAACAACAATTTCAGCTAGTAACCACAAAAAAAGTCATGTGTAGCACCAGGCAATAAATCTAACCTTACTACTGTGAAGCCTGATTTAAATGGGATTTTTTCAGACCTTACAAACTGTGTTACAAGTCAAGTCAGCCTTTAGGTTCAGTAAATTATACATAACACAATCTATGCTCTCAGAATCTTACAAAGATTCAATCTCCCCAATAATCACAAAGAAAATAACATTGTTCAAACTGCTTTTGGGTTAGGTAGCAAATTTGGTACTTTTTCACGAGGAAAATCTGTCCTTTCTTTTTGTCTAGAAGAGGTGTAGAAGATTGTGTCTAGATTTTAAGTGAAGTGTCAGCCTAGTTGCTGGCTAGTTTTCTGTCTTACAGCTGCAGCAATCTGAAACTTGAAAGTCAGTGGAAATCTGTTACATCCCAGTCACAGAAATCACATATGGGACAAATACAACTGCACACACCAGCCTCTATAACATCATGTTAAATCACACAGTTTCACTTTGACGTTGCAGCTCATGCCCTGCTACCCGCGCCTGCTTTCAAGGAAAAATGCCACTGATAAAAAAAAGGTTTCACATTGTAAAACTATTTAAGAAATGCTCCTATCCTGCACGTCACTCAACCTTCTTCATAACGCGTTACTGAGTTAGTATTGTTTCAGCACACAAGGTTCACAGAGCAACTCTTTAAACCTGCCTCTCAACATGCAGAGATCTCATCCTGGCTGCTGAAGCTGAATTATTCAAAAGGAGAGGGAGAGGAGAATACAGTAGGACTTCTAGGTGGGTCACTATCATTACAGCAGAAAGAGATGAGCTTAAACTTAGCACACGGATGGGAAAAGCATTCATAAATTATGAAACCCGAGTTGCTGCTTAAGATTTGTTCCTTAAAGGAGACTAGCCCGTTATCCACGAGTATTCAAATTACCACCACTGATAATTTGCAGCAACTTCAATTCTTTGAAATAGTTGGAATAATAATAAAACTACTACCTGTAACATCTAACCAACTAATGGCTTAATATCCATCAAGGGAATGACATAAGGATCAAAAGTGTTCTTAAAGCAGGAATATGTAAAAGCTTTAGTCACTCCAAGCCATGACTCCATTGAATATTTCAACACTGTAAGTGAATATTTATCAGATTATGATGATGTAAATGGTCAGCGCTACTGGAAACAATATTATAGGATCCTGCTGTTATCATCTTATCTTACTAGACAACCTCGAACACTAAGATAATTCAGAGGTTATCTGCAGCTACAAATTTTCTTTTCTTTCCATTTTATCTGCATGATTTATGTGTCAGGTCCATCACCTCTCCCAACAGTCAGCTGGAACTGGCTCTGCAGTTTCCCTGTCCGTCCTGCAGGGCTGCTCACCCAGCCGTGCAGCTGAAGACAGCTCCTTCTCTGATGATTCTACCTACAGCCTTACATAACTTTTCAAAAAGTCCCGAGTGTGATCTTCCTCTCAATCTTTTCTCTTGCATTGCTGATTTGCTCCATCATTACCTGCACATACCAACTGAACCTTCAAGCCACTATTATGAACCAAATAAAAGAGCAGAAACGTGGTTCTTTAATCCCTTTCTTCAAACGGGATATATACATTAGGCCTCTCCAGTTGCTAATTGCAATGACCTGGTGCCAAATCACCTCAGTCCTGCAAGTCCTCCTCCTGCAGCCTGCTGGCTAACTCGCTAGTAGGCTAATCTCTGCTGGCAACTTTCGGAGGCACGACCCCGTGGACTTGCAACTTGGATGCGAAGTCTACAAAAAGTGCGTGCCCAGTCCGGCGTTAGAAATTCACGTTTTATGCTTCGAGGTTGCAGCCAAACGCGGACCGCTGTGTTGTGTGCCGCAGTTAGAAATCCCTGTGGAAGTTTTGTGGGTTTACAAACACAAGAACCACAATGGCGGTGCGCCTTTCTTTGAAAGCACCGACACACGGGCGAATGCACACACGCTCACGGTTTGGAGATGAGCAAATTGTGCAAAGCAAGCGCAAGAGAGTAAATACAAGCACCTCTTTTTGTTCACCCCCTCTTCTTTGCATCTGTGTGAACTTTGCGCCATATTGAGCGTGCCCGCAGAGCCTGCCTGCACGGCGCAATATTGTTTCCAGGAAAACAAAAGCCGCAAGAAAACAAAGTAGCCACCACTCACCTTGGCGATAGCCTTCTTGTATCTCATGACAGCCTGCTGGATGAGTGTGTGGACTTTAATATTCCCATCCCCGCACGGCACAACCACCCGGGTCCTGCCAAAACACACCGTGACTTTCATGGTTTAGTATCCGAGATCTTCACCAGATTCGGAGCAAAACCGAGAAGAGAGGAGGAGGAGAAATCCGCGAGAAAATTAAAAGGAGCATGGGTTTTTCGTTTGCTCTGCTCCGAGGCTGTCCCGGTATTCCTTCACAGAAGCGAGAGCTAACGGTCTTTCCGCCTCTCCCCGCCGGACGACATTGTTTTCTGCGTGTTTTCAGACCACCTGTTTAGCTGTGTCTCTCTCTCTCCTTCCTTCCTTCCCTCTCTCGATCCCAATCCCTCTCTCTCCCTCTCTCTCTCTGCTGAGCTAATGCGCGGTCATATGTTGCCTTCACGTGCACCTGGTAAAGTTATCTAAAGTTGACCAACTTAAATCAATTAAAGAAAAATCTATTTTAGTAATCAGTGCTCGACTTGGACCAGTTTGTTACAATCTAGCTATATGAGTCGGTAGAATGTGGTTTTTCATTTACCATGCAAGTTAATGTTTATTCTATTGATCTGTTTATATTGAACCCTAAGCTTATCCAAAGAGGCTTTGTCCTTCCCCAAAAGAAAAATAACCAAGACCTCATTAAAAATTCTATTTTTTAAGTAGATTTTCATTTACTCGGGTATAAAGTTAATTTTATTTCCCGAAAGGCCAGAAAAATAGGTAAAATGCACAGATTTCAGTTAGGTACATTAACACAGACTCATTACCAAAAACCAATTTTGACCATGGAAAAAAAACGCTGTTGGCCAAAATGTTTTTCTTGAGAAACTGAAATAAAACACGGACATGATGACACACACAGATACCACAACCTATTAGAGGTAGAACTGCTATTTCGGGATTGCAGGATTTACGAGCGGGACTTAAATGCAACCTCTAGTAGTGATGGCCGGAGTTGCACCGTGACTCCGCGCTGTGGTCAGTGTGGGTAATGTTTGGCGCCCACGAGGCAGCGGAGGGAAGAAATAATGAGAATCAACACACTGAATGAAAATAAAGCCGAAACCAGCAACTTACTGTGTTTGTAATTCTGCCTTACAGGACAGAAAGCTGTGTGAAATCCTCCAAAGTGAAACACTTTTGTTTCTTTGACTTAAGAAGCTGCTTTAAAGTTAAGACTTGAGTTTGGTTTTAAAGGACGAATTAGGATTAGGCAGAGATTAAGTTTGGTAATAGGAAATGACTTAATAAGTAATTAAAGACTTGGGAATTATGTGTGTTTTCACCACCAGTGCACATTTCTTTTTATTAATCAGTGACATATACTTTATTTTTCCCAACATCTAATTTGATGATACACCACTTATTAAAAGTTTCGTGTGTACCCAGCCCTTTACTACTTTCGTCTACTGCCTCACCTGGGATTAAAACAAGCCCCTTTACAAAAACCAGTCCAAACCCATGTGGGGAGCTTTCAGCAACAGCTTCCTCAGAACATGCATGGATCACATGGATCGCCTTCCTCTGGCTGAACACAGTGAGTTATAGTGCCAAGAAAGGATGCAGTGCGAGGTTAAGTACAAGAAAAGAGAACTGCTGAATTTGAAGTATGCAGAAAGTGTGTGTGTGGTTTATATGGTCAGTGTTTAAACAGGATCGCTCCATCATGTAGTGCCAGCATGCAGCTGGGAGGCTATTTTAACTCTTAACACAGCTGGAGTACTCACAGGCCACCAACCACAGCCACAGCAGCTGTCGCAATGGATTAAACAACCTCACCTTTGGATATATGAGCACTTGTTTATCATCATTTACACAAAACATAACAGAGGAAATGTGAAATCACACTGTCATAACAAAAGAAAGTAACCTATAATTATAGTGAGGGGGGCAAATGAAGAAACATCTGACTGACGTTCTGGTACAGATATATGTAGCTGCAGAGCAACAGTGGATCCAGTTTCTACAACAAGCAAAGGGGTGAAGGGGAAAATGGCTTTGGCCTTCAACCTTTCTAGAGATAAAAGAACAGGTTAGAAAATCCGCTAAATAAAGGGATATCCTGGCAAACAAAACAAGCAACAGTCATTGGCTGGCATTTATTCTATATTAAAAACAGCAGGAGTAAAAACAATAATGAGAGGCAGAAGATGTAGAAGCTGACCATGAGTCAATTTTTTAGAAGATTACACTTCCCAAAGTCAAAAATTAACTTCCATTCTTAATAGACAAGAAAGCCTGTATTTGATATGCCTCACAAGTAACCATCAAGAAGTATTTGATCCCTTCCTGATTTCTTATTCATTTACATATTTCTCACACTTTCACATTTCAGATCATCAAACACATTTTAATATTTTATAACAATAACAAAGTCAAGCAGGCTAAAAGATCTTAAAAAGCAACACATCATGGCCCGAGTTAAAAAAAAAACCCTCAAAGTCCTTGACATCTATCAGTCCGGAAGGGCTACAAAGCCATTTCTAGAACTTTGTTTCTCCAGTGAATCATGGTGAGAGCCCTTATGGACAAACGGACAAAACTTGGAACAGTGCTGAATCTTCCTGGAAGTTACCAGCCTACTAGAATTATGCATTGACGACTCATCCACGAGGGCACAAAAGAACAAGGAGGCCTCACTTGCCTCAGTTAAGATCATGATTCATGAATAATGCTACATGTTACTGATCTCCAAGACTTTTGGAAAATATTCTGTGAACTGGCGATATATACACTCTAAAGTTTCTTGGAAGGTTTCAGTCATGTTACAATTGTTATAAAACTAACAAAGCATTTTATAACAGGAACTTTATACCAGCAGTTAAATATGATGGTGGCAGTGTGATGGGCTGCTACAAACTTCAATCTGTAATATAATTAATGTCTTGAGATACGCAAGCAAAAAAGCTCCCAGTTTCAAGAGGATTTAAATTTAAGTATCCACCAGTCAACATAACCAAGGACCATATGTGTTTCAGTAGTGACCTCTTGTGGTGCACTGCTGTGGTACCTCTTTAAGATGATTTTAAATCTTATTTGGCATAACCTTTATTAAAAGAGCAAATATACTACTTCTTGGTAAGCTCAGTTATGGCATTTATAGAATTTCCTATGTGTATTGCACTTATTTAATATCAGTGTTTCCCCAAACAGAAACATCTTCCATTTGCAATTTCAATGAAAATACAGTATATGGTTTTAGGATGCACAGTAAGCACAATAAACGCCAGATGAGATGGGCCTACCCCTTTGCAGACATTACCTGCAGTCTTTCACTTAGTATAAGATGCTGCAATTGATCTTTTTAATTTGCAAATTAATACTTGGAAAAACACAGCTATAAAGCCTCTGCATCTTCATCATTTTGTGTATGGTTATCATGAGATGACATTAATTTACATTCACATTTTAAACTTTGACTTTCCCGAAAAAGGCCATGCATCTTCCAGAAATATGGCGGTCAAGCTGGAAAGGCCATGGCAGATGCTCAAATACCTCTTTGATGGTATTATCAGCGTGAAAATTGTGTTGTGTAGTTATCCCAGGCTAATTTTGTGCTAAAGAGCTGTCTGGCCCAGGTCATATGTTACTCCCCGCTGTCAGGCCTTTGTGTCACCCCAGGGTTCCCCTTCTGTTGCTGGTACTTGGCCATCTGGAGACTCCATCCTCTGGCTACAGGATATGCCAAGGAGATGGAGGAGGAGGAGGGAGCAGCAGTGGGGGAGCATTAAGACAATGTAATTTTGTAATATAAAGCTGTGCTAGTTAGAAGTATATGACACAAAACCTTTACAAAATGATGGACAGCAAAACTGGGAAAACTTAAATACTGTAGTCAGACTAATACTAATATCAATCATCATCCTCATAATGCTGAAAGAATGGTTTACACTACAGTGAATGTAATGCATGCTGCACTCATGTTGTATACATCAATGCATTGCACCCAACAACACACATAATAATTTTTTCTTGAATTATATAAATGTATGCCAGATGAAGAGGACTACTCTTTGATAACATCGGGTGGCGCTGTTATAACAGTGCAGCCTCTGCAGGAGGACAGATGGTGGCTCAGGGGTCAGCCAGTCAGTGCTAAATAAAGGAACCCAGCAAGTACATCACGGAATCTGCAGTAAACCACAGTTATCTGCACTTTTTTTTTTAAACACACTGACATTATACAGAAAAATTAGCACCAGGAAACAAGTCTGAGTTTATAATGTAGTTCTAACAGGTGAGGTAACCATTAACAGTCCAAATATAGCCTCTATTTTGTAACTATAAAACATTATTTGTTCTTTAGATTGTGTGGTCAGTTTATACTCTTTACAATCGATTATTATTATTATTATTATTATTATTATTATTAATCACTGTCTATCAAACATCCAACTGAATTTAAATGCCCAGGGCTATTTGGTTGATTGTGTTAGACATAACTGCCAACACAAGCCTCACTTTCTTATTGGAGTCTATGAAGTTTGCACTCTTAAATATAAATTCCGTGTACTCTTAAGTTAAAAAAAATGTCTCAAACAAAATGCAATACATTCCTCTTAATCTGCTTTTCAAAGTGTAATTGCCTCTTACGGGCACTAGACAGCAGCATTACTTTGCTCTGTAAACATGAGTGTCCAAGTTACAAAACTATCACTGTAGCACTGTTTTTGCACACTTCGACTTTTGCTGTTTAATTTGAAATTTCCTTGTTCCGAAAATTGAATGTATGAATATGAATACACTTCTCTTACCATGCTAAATTAAAACAATTACCCTTTTGAAAACTTTAACATAAAGTGGTCGAGTTAAGCTGTAGCTATGACTGTTTTTCGGAAACAATTATTTCAAACATTTCGCGGACACATACACGGTAGAAAAACTAAAATATATACATTTGAATTAATTTCCAGATTCTAAGATGTTATGTGTGGCGTCTTCCCGTGAAATTCCTGCATTATGTTGACTTAAAGCAAGAATTTAGCCACGGCTTGTTTTTTCGCCCGCCGAGTGTAAACAAGGAAGCAGGAAGGAGTGAATGCTCTCGCTCCACCTCGACACTCTTCGGCGTTAAACTGACTCGCCAGTCGACATTTTCGGCACAGCATCATCAGCGCTGACGTGGAAACTACGTGAGCGAAGGCACGGGCCGTTCACCCATACTGTCATTAGTGACGACTCAGGCTACGTAAAACTTCGGTAAGTCGCTGCAAAGCTGTCACATTTTTGGTCAGCGCCAGTCGGGCAGAGTCGAAGGAAAATGTGCAAATACATCTTCGCTACGAAACGCTCCATTAAAGCCTCGTTTTGTAACCACAGCTGATAAATTGCCGACCATCATGGAGTTAAACAAAATGTTCTCAACTGTCAGCAGTTCCTCTCTGAAGTTTACTGAGCTACGTCAAGTCAGGCGGAATAGATGTCGGAAGTGGAGTGGACACGACCTCTTCAAAATAAAAATCTAAGCCCAACTACGTAAAATATTCTAAAATATCCAATGTGAAGACTTTGTTTTTTTTTTTTATTCCAAATTCGTCATGTGTAACACAATTTATTTTAAAATTGTATTAAAAATATGTTGCTCAAAATAAAAGTCCAACATTTGTCAAATTTTCACCCCGTAAGGTCTGCCCCTAAAACGGAAGTCAATTTTGTCCCCTATTTTTTCTTAGTTCAACCGACAAAGATCTGTTGTACCTGCGTGTAATTTACTTGAAACGTTAAAAAGTGGCTGTCTTGTTCACAGATCTCGAAATATGTTAAAACGGGTTCAGGACATTTCTAGGGCAAACGGCTGTGGATTGCTAATTTAATTTTATTGAAATGTTTCAGATTTTCACTAGTAAGAAACTTCAGAGTTTGCCATCAGTAGGAGAGAATAAACAGTTTGAGGCTGGTCTAAAAAGCAGGGCTCTGTGGCTCATCATGAGGGTCCCCAATGTGTATAATATGTAAATATTAATGCTTTTCAGTTATGATGCTGGCTGTTTACATCAGTCCAATTTCTGTTACAGAGACCCTGTAAAAATAGAATTAGAATCCCTCCATTTGTTTAGTTTTGACACTGCAGCCAGCCTCTAATTTGAAGCAAACCTGTTTTAATTTTCTAAAACCCAGTTGGACACAAATCTTTACAGTCTTTCATTGTCATTATTGCCCTCTAACAAAATTGTACTCGAGTTTGTAACAGTCTGTCTCCCAAAGTGTGGGAAAAAAAAGCCTAAATTCAGTCAGCCAGCTTCACCTGGTGGCTGCCACACTTAATGAGCTTGCTAGTTATATAATGCAAATTTGTCACAAGCTGAAAAACACTCACTCTCAGCACAGATCTTCGGACAAATAATTTTGATTTAAATCAGGAGTGTTTTCATTTCATTTATTTCTGTTGGCTCTGTCTTCTCAAATTGTATTTTAGACTCACTGATTGAGGAGCATTCAGTTCACCATCTCATTATTCTGCACTTCATTACAGTGCAGTTAATGTTGTTATTTCTGCCTCTATGCACCCGGCTGTCTGGATCTTTTTTTGCGTGTCAGTTAAGCTTGAACGGAATCGTACTGAACAAAGTAATTAAGTGCAGAAAGAACACTTATAACACAATATAAAAATATAATACAGGTCTTGTAAACACAAGACAATTCTTGCCAATATTCCAAGGTTAAATGTCTATCTGTAGCCAATGTTAAATGAATACTGGGGGGGGAAATTGGACTGCGAAAACACATTTATTTGTCTTTTACCTGTGTAATGATGTTAGAGAAGAAAACATTAGGATTGCCTTTGTCTGCTTCATTATTAATTTGCCCGTCCATCTTTCTGTCTAGGTGAGCGACTATGGACAGCTCAGTATCGTCTCAGCTGGACAGCAGTTTAAATGACTCATTGACAGATGGAGAGGAAAACCAGAGTGAAACCAGCCCTTCTCCTGCAGCTGCTGCTCAGGTGCACACATGCGCGGTTAGGAACTGTTTGGTGGTTTTAACCGGAAGAGAACAAACAAACTTTAAGATGTGTTCAGAGACAAGAGGTGTTCAGACACTCAAGTCTAACTGTTGCAGGCAAACATTCATCATTTCATGTGTGCCTGCAGGCGTCACTAGCAGAAGAGTCTTCCGGTGTGACTGTTGTTCAGCTGCCTGGTCAGACAGTTCAAATCCAGGGGGTCATCCAGGCCCCGCAGACCTCTGTTATACAATCACCACAAGTTCAGACTGTCCAGGTGAGGGCACATGCTTGCCTCAGAACTCATTTGAACTCTTTTAATGGATGACTCAGTTTTCACATCAGAGAATAGCTTTGTCAATACATGCAAAATTTAATTTCAGTTCCAAATTTTAACTAGAGACTAATGAAACATCTGTATGCAGTAAGCAAAGTAGTTAGAGGCTCCTTTGGGTCATGCCAGAGTCAGAACCCAAGTCAATCAGGAGACTGAAGTCAACTCTTAGCCAAGTTGCCAGTCTCTCAGGGTGGGTCTCAGGTCTTACATAATTCAAGATATGATCAGGTCAGATGTTTCAGAGTAAGTTTCAAGTCCATTAGGATAAGTCCAGATTATGCCTCAAGTCACTGAAAACAAGTCCCGACAAATCTTAAGTCAAGTCGAGCCTCCAGTAACACCTCAAGTCATTTGAACATGTTTTAAGATAAGTATCTCTGTCTAAGCACTACTGATGCAAATGCTCTAGTAAGATGAACATTTAAGCCACTAAGCCTGACAATAACACCTAGAAAAGCAGTAAATACTGCCCTTACTCTGCTCTGTACAATAATTTAGATCGCGATCAATATCTTGGTCAATGAACTTGTAACTGCTATGTACAAGGCACACTGCAGGGCTTATGGTTTAATGTAGTGGATCTGTTAATAGGATTCAAGTGAGCGGCAGGAACTGAGGTTTAAGCTCATCAGTCTAACCTGCACTCTCAGGAGATGTTGTGTCTCGTTTAGATGACTGCTGTAGAGCTGCAGATGCATCAGATAACAGGGATCTGTCATGTGAAAATGCTGGCAAGAAGTTATTAATATTATTGTATTGAGGACCAGTGTCTAGAAGTATAGGGCTTGAGAAAGGAAACAGTGGTTAAAATGGAGAAGCAGACTTTTCTCTACTGTGCAGCTTTGTTTGCAAAGCAGAGGTTACTTTGTCGTCTCATGGAAAGTATTTTTTCAAGGAAATTAGCATGAAAATAGATTATATCTTTGAAATGCACAGTCAGATGGCATAGATCTACACCACAACGTGGTTTTGTTGACTGGTTTCAAACTACTCTGTACTTCTTATCTGTGAAACTATCAGTAGCAAGTTTGACTTGTTGCCGATTGACTGCTGGTATTAGCTGTACGCTTCCAGTAATAACTATTATTTAAATAAATCCTGCATCAGTAAGTCTTAACGTAAGACTCTGATTGAGTGCCATTAAACATCTGGAGGCAGATGCAAAACATCCTGTTTAAAGTCAGCACTAACACTGTGTGTGTAACAGCACAGCACAGTTATTTCTTGCTTTAAATTTGCTTCCAGAGCATAAAGCTGACAAGCTTAGTTCCAACCTCCACTCTATTATAGATTAATGGACACACCTCTGTTTAACCCGGCACCTTTGTCTGGTACAGACAAATGAATGTAATGTACATTCATTACACAGCAGCGTGAGTCATAAAAGCCCTTTGGCTTATGACACACTACCAGGTTGACTTTGTTATTATTCCCACAGTATGTTTCAGTTGGGAAAACAAACAAATGCTTGAGGGGAGAAAGGTGGTAACTTTTTTTTGCAAATAATTGTGCAGAATATACAGTGCTGTGCAAATGTCTTGACCCTTTATATGTTGTTTCTAAAAAGCCAGACTTTCTTGTAATTTGAAAGTGGCTTGAACCACAGCTCTCCAGTGTTTCTGAAAGCCATATAAGTTTTTTTCCTTTGGACTTTGACTGCTTTTCACTCATTCATAGTTCAAACCTTGTACCTGACTAATTTCAGGATTTAGGATTTTTTTTATTTGTTTTTGCTCAACACTGATCTATGAATCACTCGAACATAAAACAGGCACCTATCTCAAGGGATAAAGCAGTGCTGTGTCTCACATTACAGACAACTTAGCAGTGAACCAATGTAAATCATATCTTCAGGCAGTT